ACCAGCAATTAGCATCAGAGGTAAAGTCTCGTTACCGTAAATTTAGGGAAAGTCGGTCCTTCGCACCAAACAGGAACATCCTCTAAGCCACCGCTCAAATCTACAACAGTCTTTTTAGATGTATTCATGCTTGAAATAGACCTGCTTTAAACCACAGACGTGTTCACGATGATGTCGGTGCTTTAAACGGATCAGCTGGTTGTCAACAAACTCCTGAGCTGCAACTTCCGCTGAAGTCCCTGGCCGCTGTCGCCACCTAGTGGTGCGTTGGAGTCTTTACATTTTCTGTCGTCTGCACTGAACAAACCAACTGACCTGCCAGCTTCACGGACATGACAAAAAATGGCCAAGAAGAAAAAAATAATGGAGTTAGGAGCAATATGTGCTCTTTAGGTTGATTGGGAAAAGAACTTTAAACACAGGGGCTTAAAAGGAGCAGAGGGACTATGTAGAAAAATAGTAACGGAGCACTGCTGCAAGGTAAAACCATTGTAGCAATCAGTGTAAAGATGTTCGGTAGATTATAATTAATAGTTCAGTTGTAATACTAGATTCATTAATAATAATAATAATAATAATAATAATAATAATAATAATAATAATAATAATAATAATAATAATAATAATAATAATAATAATAATGTTATCATTTCATATTCCTTACTTATGTTTGATAAGGATATTTTGGAATTTTATATTCAGACAATAATTAGCATGAGAACTTTGTGTTTGTAAAACAAAGCTCTTTGTTCATCAGTGTGTCTTTCTGAAGTTGAGCTAAAATCGTTGGTAGAGTGAAGACTACATATATATATAGTCAGTGAGCTTTCTGTGTTTGTTTGATGCTCCGGTTTCTATCAGCCACTCTGCAGTGTTTCTGGTGTGTTATTGGCTGAAGAGGCATAAATGTGTTTTTATGTGGAAAAAGTCATTGTTTTTTAATAACTGAGCCATCTCTGAAAATGCAAAGAAAGGGTTATGATACCCGGACACAGTCAAAAGTGCTAATGCTGCAACACCATTTGAATTATTCATTTAGTTACTGATTGTTATCTTCGTGCGTGTAAACACAAATTCATAACTGAGGAAAGGATGTGATTTTAGAGGTGGCAGCAGGAAACAGATCCCAGTGACTGTTTAGGAAGTCAAACGGATCTGGTCTGGCCCAGACTTCCCTCTCCCCAGCAACTTGAGCCAGCTTTTATGGGGGAATCACAAGGCGTTCCCTGGCCAGATGAGAGACATAGTCCCTCCAACATGTCCTGGGTCTTCCTTCAGGTCTCCTCCTGGTTGGACGTGCCCAGAAAATCTCACCACGGAAGCATCCAGGAGGCATCCTGGTCAGATGCCCAAGCCACCTTAACTGGCTCCTCTCAATGTGGAGGAGCAGCAGATCTACTCCGAGCCCCTCCCGGATGACCGAGCTTCTCACCCTATCTCTAAGGGAGAGCCCAACCACTCTATGGAGAAAACGTGGTCACTACCCAAAGCTCGTGACCATAGGTGAGGGTAGGAACATAGATTGACCGGTAAATCGAGAGCTTTGCCTTCTGAATCAGCTCTCTATTCACCATGGCAGACCGGTGCAATGCCCGCATCACTGCAGATGAAGCACCAATCCGCCTATTGATCTCGCTCTCTAACTTTACCTCACTCGTGAACAAGACCCCGAGATACTTAAACTCCTCCACTTGGGGCAGGACCTCATCCCTGACCCGGAGAAGGCCTTCTACCCTTTTCCGAATCAAGACCATGGTCTCAGATTTAGAGGAGCTGATTCTCATCCCAGCTGCTTCACACTCGGCTGCGAACCGTTCCAGCAAAAGCCGAAGATCATGTTCTGATGAAGCCAACAGGACCACATCATACACAAAAAGCAGAGACCTCAGGCCACCAAAACAGATGCCCTCAACACCTTGGCTGTGCCGTCCATAAAGGTTATTAACAGAATTAATGACAAAGGGCAGCCTTGGCAGAGTCCAACTCTCACTGGAAACGAGCCTGACTTACTGCCGGCAATGGGGACCAAGCTCAGACTCCGGTCGTGCAGGGACCTAACAACCCGTATCAAAGGGCCTGGTACCCCATACTCCTGGAGTACCCCTCACAAGGCCCCTTGAGGAACGCGGTTAAAATTCCTTCTCCAAATCCACAAAACACATGTAGATTGGTTGGGTGAACTCCCACACACCTTCCAGGACCCCCCCCCCCCCCCCCCCCCCATCCCCAGTTGTACTGATCTGTCGTGGTGAAGAGAGAACTGAGCGGGAAGGAAAAGTTCTTGATTTACTGGTCGATCTACATTCCTACCCTCACCTATGGTCATGAACTTTGGGTAGTGACCGAAAAGAATGAGATCACGAATACAAGCGGCCAAAATGGGGTTTCTCTGCAGGATGTCTGGGTTCTCCCTTAGAGATAGGGTGAGGAGCTGGATCATCCAGGAAGGGCTTGGGGTAGATCTGCTGCACCTCCATATTATGAGGAGCCAGTTGAGGTGGCTTGGGCATCTGTCTATGCTTATAGTTTTATTTCACTGCAGTCCAGTATGTGCCCCAATTTTATTGTGCAATTTTAGATGTGATGAAATGTAACTGACATTTTTTTTTTTGCATAAAAGGACTCTGGGTTCAAAAATGGCTTTTTATGAGAACTGCAGAAGGTCTGATAGAAATATATATGTTTTAAACACTGACATAACCAGAAAAACATCGATTGCTTACATTACAAATGCATTGTTTATTCAAAAGGAAACTCTAAGAGCGCATCAAGTGAACTGCAGTAGATTCCTGTTTTATTTTGAAAACCTCCCAACGGAAGTGCCGTGTTCAGTTAGAAGAGAGCAGTGGGGCAGTCAGCTGTTTCCTCCATAGACACCGGGCACGCTGATGGAGACGATCCCGACTGTGGTTCTGCTGCTCGGACTCGCAGCCTGCTGTCGGGCCCTACTCGCTGTCCCCACGCTGGAGGTCAACCTGGACGACGAGCCGGAAGTTCGATGGTTGCCTCTGAAGAAAGTGTTTAACGTGGACTACCTGAATAAAGTCGCGGCACAGATTATTGAGTACGTTTTTTTGCCGGGGCGTATCAGATTATTTCTACTAAATGCTATGATCATCACTCATGTTCAGCTCTAATTTATTTATTATGTTGGTCAAGAGTAAGACAGGAAGACTGAAGATTACTTCTTATATAACACGATTATTACCCTCATGGAAGAATGTTCTCTCTCACACACACACACACACACACACACACACACACACACACACACACACACACACACACACACACACACACACACACACATATATATATATATATATATATATATATATATATATATATATATATATATATATATATATATATATATATATATATATAAGAACCATAATTTAAATAACTTTTGTGCTGCTGTGATTAGTGATTAAAAACTTCATTTTCAAAATACTATGATTGTTATCTGTGCAAATCATCTTAATAATAATAGTTACAACAACAAAAGTAATATGAATAATAATGATGAAAATAATGATATTATTTAATAACATAATGCTACAGAGTTGTAGTGTTAAACCCTCTTTCTAAAACTGTAATTTTATCATTTTTAATTGCCAAAATAATAATAAAACTCAAAATATTCTGCACTGATCTGCTTGACAGTATAAATGATCAACCCTTCTCGTGTTGATGGTAACCATTTCTGCCTCGTCTTTTTTAGTTCCACAGTTCCAAAATGGGTCCATCAAGCTGTCAAGCCACTGGTGAAGGCCCTGGATAAGTACGTTCCTCAGCCCTACGCGGGGGAGATCCGCGGCATGTCCACAGTCATGGGGGCAGACCTGGCCAACATCATAATGCTCAACTTTGCCTATGAAATGACTGCGTATGTATGAGGAGGCAGAGGCCCACGGTGATGTTAAAGTTCGCTCAGTAACACCTGCTCACTCTCTTCACCTGTAGATTTTGCACGAGCATCCTCGCTCAGGACGTAAACGGGAACGTGTATCATGGACGGAATCTTGATTATCCACATCCTGTTCTGAAGAATCTGACTACAAACATTGTTTTTCGCAAGAACGGAAAGGTACAATTTAGAGTTTAGGTTATACAGCAATAATACAGTTTTCCAATTAATTTCCAAAATTAAAGGAAGCAGCTTAAGTTCAGATGATTGGAAAACTTCCCTTTGGACATTTTTTGTATTACCTGTATTTAAATACATATTTACCACAACTTCTTTTTTTTACAAGGAAAAAACAAACACAAATGCAGATAGTACACACTTTTTGCACTAAACAATTTAAATAAGTAATAATAAGACAATAATAAAACTGAACTTCATTGGTTAAAGGGACTTTACGAAGTTTTGAATTTTTATGCCCGCGATTGCCCCCTCAGGCCAAAAGCGTAACGGCAGCTTCAATAGTAGGCTCGTGCACGAGGTGCGCATGCTGTATGTGCACACTCCTTAACGAAAATAACAGTCCCGTGTGTGTGCGTGTGTGTGTGTGTGTGCGCGTGCGTGCGTGCGTGTGTGTGTGTGTGTGTGTGTGTGTCACGGAGGACAGATGACGGGAGAACACGCAGCTAATTAATTACATAATTTGGTTCTGTACCTTTCTCTTCAGCACAGCCGACAAAGGTTTAAGATGGGTCAGTCCTCCTGCATGCTCAGATCATTCCCTTCCCTTGCTTGAAAAATTGTTCCAAAATGAAAGTTGAACTCACATCTTTTTTATCTGTGAATTCAATGCCGTTCGGCGAGTCTCAAATAAAAATTTGGGCATCTTACTGTAAAAAGTATACCATTAATGTAAAAAAGAAACTCTAAATAAACTATGTTAACATCCAGAATCGAACCCAGGACTACTGCACAAGAGTCCAACGTCTTACTAGGTGAGCTAAAGCACCACTGACATTTTCTGTATCTGTAACATTTATATTCTTGATGACAGCTGAAACAACGTTCAGAGAACGGTTCGGAGCGAAAATGGCTGTTTTGTTGCTAATTTGCAGGAAATATCTAGAAGAAAGTAGCTAAGGGTCCTCAGAAATGTAGCTAGGTTCATCACTAGGCGTTAGGAACAGTGACAAAGTCGCTGAGTTGGCACTGCCTATATAAATAAACTTTACTTACTTACTTACTACCTCTCTCTCTGCTGCTAAAGCTACTGATAGCAAATGCTACGGGCGATGCCTGAGCGTGAACACGCATGAAGCAGCCTGCTCGACCCGAGCAGCTCTCTTTTTCTGTGATTTTACAGAAAAACAGGCAATCACAGTAAAAATGCCAGGGCTCATTCTACAGGACCAGGGCATTGCAGGAGAATGTATGAAGAAGAAATGTATTATTTCTATACATGTTTTAGCTGTCAAACTTCCATAATGTCCCTTTAAATGTCTAAGGTGGTGTATCTTGGGACTTCGTTTGCTGGTTATGTTGGCTTGTGGACGGGACAAAGTCCTTACAAATTTACCGTTTCTGGTGACCAGCGAGGTAAGACTGCTCATCATTTAAAAATTTATCATAAAGTTTATGATTTGAACTCTTAGTTTGTTTATGATCCACTAGGAACCGAGCACTGGTGGAACTGGTGGAGGAATTTCATGTCTGCGTTCCTGTTCCACAGATCTCCAGTCAGCTGGGCTTTGAGGGAGGTCGGTGCATCTGGGTGTGTTGAGTTGAAGCAGGAAAAAAAATGGAAATGAATCTAACTGTGATTGGTTCATGCAGACGCTGGAGAAAGCAGAGGACTTTCAGGACGCAGTGATGCGTCTGTCAAGAACGCCCCTCATCGCGGGGGTGTATTACATCGTGGGCGGGGTGCGACCGAGGGAAGGGGTCGTGATCACCAGAGATCGAGTGGGCCCGGTGGATATCTGGCCTCTGGAACCGCTAACCGGAGGGTAAGGCTAGTGTGTGTGTGAGTGGGACCACACAGCTGAACAAACTTTAATCGTGTTTTTTTTAGATGGTTCAGAGTAGAGACAAACTTCGACCACTGGCTTCCTGCCCCATCAGGGGACCATCGCAGGTCAGTCATCTCAGGTATCATCACACTCATTAGGTACCCGTTATTACTCACCTGCTTTGTCTTTAATCTAATAAAGGGAGGTTGCAAACAAAGCGTTGGAAGCGACTGGCCAGAATCACATCAACATGGACTCTCTTTATCAGGTGAGTGTGGACAAGGTCACCGGATAATGGGAGACGATGGAGAGTGTGAGTGTCTGGATTGATAAGAGCTTTGTCCTTCAGGTTCTGTCTCGGGATCCAGTGTGTAACCAGTAAGTTTTCTCTTTATTACAACATCATTATGATGCATGCTAGTTAGTCTTTTTCTGGAGTATTTCTCCTGTCTAATGGCACCATCTAGTGGCAGACAAGCATATCGCACCCCTGCTTTTTTAAGATGACTACTTCACGTTTCTGTTTACAAATGTGATTCTGTAGTCGACAAACAGAGCTATAACACTTTTTTTACGAGTATTATTCTCATGTCATGTTGTGTTCTCATATATTTTTATTTCAGAGACTTATTAGAAAAGTGAAAAGTTCATCAACTCTGCATCAGCAGAGGTAATCATTACATTTGAACAGAGGTGGAAAGAGTACTAAAATTTCCTACTTAAGTACGAGTACCAATACTCTGATAATTTTTTACTCAAGTACAAGTAAAAGTACTTGCCTAAATTTTTACTCGAGTAAAAGTAAAAAGTATCATAAACAAAACGTACTCAAAGTAATAGTTACTTAGTTACATTTTTGTCAGCGTAAGGATGGCTACATCTAAGCGCCAGTTCACACCGGTGCGTGAAGGTGCGGGTTCCAACCCGCAGGAGAGGAGGGAGAGAGGAGGTAAACAGCAAGTGGATCGACCGAACTGATGTCTTTGAGCAAAAGTATACACCCACACCCCCCCCACGGTTTAGACGCAACGCTCATGCAGGTGTCTCTTTCCGTTCCGACGCTGCTACACGTAATATTTTTTAATTTATTAAGCCTATAATTTATTTTTACTCAATAACGGATATGATTTAAAATGTAGCGAATTACAATTCTTTCTTAAAAACTCACTCAAGTAAAAGTAAAAGTACAGATTTTAAAAACTACTTAAAAAGTATAAATATACAAAAAAGCTACTCAATTACAGTAACGTGAGTAAATGTAATTCGTTACTTTCCTTTTCTGCATTTGAAGCACGTAAGCGGTAGTCTAACGCTATTGGTTAGTTCTGGTCTGTGTTTCCTATCGCACGGAGTTCTGCGGAGCAGGGGACGTGCTTAACGAAAAAAAAGACATACTGCTTACATTATATCACAGCACATGATAAGACAATCGCTTTTACGGATTTCTGACAAATCAGACATGAATTCTGAAAGAGGAAACTCCGGAAAGCTACTTTAATGCTGCTGAGATGAGTGCAGAACAGTTGTACTTCCTCCTGTTGAAGCTGGAGTACACGGCACTTTGCACGTAGACCAGCAGATGTGTTTCAGTCACATTCTGTAGAGAAATCTTCAGTTTGTTTCAGTTCCTTGTTTTTTTTTATCTAATGTTTATTACTGTTTGTCCCAGATTTACCATTTACACAACACTCATGAGCGCGGCTTCCCCAGAGACGTATGTTACAAATGTCAGACCAAAGGTAATGAACTCATGCTTCAAACGTTCACTTAGGATGCTGAAAGTAAACTCACACGTCTCTTCGGATCTCTTCCTAGGGCTGCAAGAAGACTGAACCCCGAATCAGACACAGATCTCTCCCAGCAGAGCTTTTGAAGTCCATGACACAAACACAGAGTTGATGTGAGAACATGAGGGAATTTAGTCTTTACCTTGTGTGATCAGGCGAAACTGGCTCCAGTGAAATAAGGTTTTTAATCAAATAAATCTTTATTGCCATCGTAACTTTTTACAAAGAACAAGAGATAAAGAAATTGCGGCTGACTCAGAGTTTGGAACGCAAGATTACAAGAGCAATGATAAGTACTGTAGAAACATTATGATATATACGATATAAATGCAAAACGTCTTTGTAAAATGTTGTGATGGGGACAAATGTGTTGCACTTGTTCAGTTTGGGTCTCTGTTACACACTGGAAAAGGACGTGAGGGAAATTTATTGGGAATTTTGGGCTGATTGCACTTAGATAAAAACTTTTGCACAAATATTTAAAATTAATTAACCCTCTGGAGGCAGGCGTTGCAGATCTGCAACGTTAAAACCTACCTACCTGGTTACTCCGCACGCGTGTTTCATGAGCATTTTTTACTCAGAAGTACCCCTTTAGGACTTAGTTGTTCATTCTTTTATCAAAACTTATTTTGAGCCCGAGAGGGTTAAGCGTTCACCATGATCCTTTTAGCACTTTGATGTAAAACTAGACCTTTTCTCTCCTGTTGCCTTCCTAAACTATGTGTGTTTGTCATGCTGAATTCAGCCATGGACCAATGACAGTTTTTTGGCTCAGCACCAACGTAGCAACTGTCCAATCATGCTGTAGTGATGTCATAGATTCACAACTCCAATGTGAGTCACATACATTTGCCTGACTTCACATGCAACACCTGCCATTCCTCAGGCTGGAAAAAGAAACTAAAACAATGTTGGAAAAGTTCATAGTTTCTTTTCCCAGTAGAAGATTTGACTATAATGTCAGAGAACGTCCCAAATTTAACAATAAATGTATACCTTTAACCACGGAAAACTGTACGTTTTTCTTTCAAATGTATGCTTTCTTGACAGCATATCCAAGTTTCTTCTTGGAAATAAAATAAATTAATCTAGAGAAATGTCTTAATTTTTTGCAGAATGGTACTGTTCATATAAATCTTTTTTTTATCTACAATGGTCTCAATACTCTGTTGTAACTAAATTTCTTTGAATTAAAAGTAAAAATTATTATTGCATTTAGCTAAATCTCCTTTTCTACCAGTCGTAATCATTCCTATTTGTTCTTGTCTGTAGAAAGCAGGATTGAAAATTATACTTATTTATCTTAATTCTAAGAAGGCATAAGGTCACTGAGAAGCATGAATTTATTTGTTTTTTTTATGAACAAACAAGCTTCTCAAATAAATAAAATCAAAACGATACAACAAAAGTAACCAGTAACAGAACAAAAATGCAGTTCTCTCATTACAGTTTGTTTTTCATCTAAATAAACGTTTAATTTAAATACTTGTAATCTGTCTTTTGGTGTGATTGATGTTCACATACTTTGTTTATAAAGAACTTATGTGTTTTATTCAGGCCTGCTGGGTGGAAACAAACTCATTGCATTAGTATCTGGCTTTCGAGATTCTGCTGGAGAGAAACGATTATCACTACGCTGATAAAAATCCTGTAAATTTCCATCAAAATAAAATATCACTTAAACATTACTACTTTAAATGAGGATTAACAGCATAGTCTAAGCCGGATTAACAGCATAGTCTAAGCCATCCGTCCTCATTAGTTGATGGTTTGCAGCTGGGACACTGAAGGCGGGCAGAGGTGGAGGCCAGCCTGACGGAGGACCTGTCCAAGGTCCTGAACGGCATGGAGGGATCAGGACTGGGCCATTCAAGGTGCGGGAGCCCAGGATTCGTAACAAACAGCGATGATTATGAAAGTTGCATCTGAGACAATTCCCTATAGGAGGAATCCTTGAAGTAGAGCTATCGTTCCCTGGTGGAATAATCAATCAATCAGATTTATTTATAAAGCACTTTTCAAACAAAGTGCTTTACAAAATGACCCCAGATTCCCATAACAGGTTAAAAACATTAACACACACACACACACACACACACACACACACACACACACACACACACACACACACACACACACACACACACACACACACACACACACACACACACACACACACACACACACACACACACACACACACACACACACTTAGCTGAGTCCAGATGAGCCAAGTAAGGTAAGGCAAGAAAACGCCATCAGAGAAGCCGTCTGCCCCGGCAGCATCAAGTCTTCCACACTAAGTCAGGGCGCTCAGTTTAGGGGGAGCATAGACCCCCACCTGTAGAGCACCCAGGAAGCTACAGTCGACCACCGCCCCCAGGGCAGAGGGCCCCTACAAAGGCAACACTGGATTAAAATGAGTAAAACTTTAACAAAAGAGCTAATAAGGGACAAAAGTTAGAAAATAAGTAATAAATAAAATCATATAGACAGTAAAATAGTAATATTAAATAATGAAAACAATGCTAAAATATAATCATATAAAACATGCAAAGCAAGCAATAAAATATAATCATGTAAAATGAGAAATAAAACTGTAGTAGATATTTAGATAAAAGCCAACCTAAAAAGGTGGGTCTTGAGCCTGGACTTAAAAACATGAACGTTCTCTGCGGCCCTGAGGAATAAAGAGTGTGAGACTGTAGTGAAAAAAAGAAAGCAGGCTTTTGCTAAGATGCGTAAACATGCCACTCAGGAAAATGTTATTGATTTTAAGAGATGTAGGGGAATGGCACGAAAAACAAAAACAGAAAAGATAAAGTGCTGGAGAAAGTTTTGTAGTACTCTAGGTCCAGAGACTCCTGTACAACAATTGTGGAGGAGGATTCATCGTATGTCTGGTAAATTTGTGAGTTCAGCAATGCCAGTTCTTAGTGAAGGGCAGAGGATAGCTACTAATAGCAAAGAGAAAGCGGACTTGTGTGTTGAGGTTTTTCAAGATGTTCATTTTTCAGAGTTCTTGGGTGAAGAAGTGCTAAGGTTATGTGAAGTGAAGTTGTCAGAAAACGTCTTTAAACTGGCAGGAGCCGCAGGAACGGAAAATGAGTATAACTTGTTTTTTTTCCTTCAAGGAGTTGAAGGATGCTATTAAGGTGGGTGCTAATACTACACCAGGGCAGGATGGGATTTGTTTTAAGATGCTTCAACATCTTGATGAAGAAACGACATGTGACATTTTAGCGCTTTTTAATTATGTTTGGTAGGAAGGAGTCTTGCCAAAATCCTGGAAGCATGCTATCGTTGTCCCTATTGTGAAGCCAGGAAAGGATCCCTCTTCTCCGTCATCTCACAGGCCAATAGCTTTGACATCTGTGCTGTGTAAGGTGATGGAGAGGATGGCGACTAATAGACTGGTATACATTTTAGAAAGAGTGGGTGTTTTGTTAATTATCAGAATGGATTTAGAGGGGGGAGAAGTACATTAGATTCAGTAGTAGTTTTAGACAGAGATATTAGGAGAGCTATGATAAATAGACAAGCTGTTGTTGCAGTATTTTTAGGTATTGAAAAGGCTTATGATAGTATGTGGAGAGATGGTTTACTTCTTAAACTGTATGACGCTGGTGTTCATGGTAGGATGTTTCATTGGATTAAAAATTTTCTCAATGATAGATCAATTCAGGTAAGAGCAGGGAAGTTTTTGTCAGAACCTGCGGTAGTAGAAAGCGGTACTCCGCAAGGAGCAGTTATAACGGTGAGAACGGAGAAGGGGGCTTCCACCTGTCCCGAGGGGACATTCGCATCGGGATATGCACTCGATTCTTGGGAGGTCTGGCGAATCGTGTGCCTCTCTCAGTTGTCCATCGAGGACGTGGAAGATTTGTGGATGTTCGGCCTGATGATCACTGGATTTCTTATGATTGGAGTGGGAGGATATCTGGTTTTCTGGAAATTTGGGAAGACGGGAGCGATTGGAGTGCGACCCGTGCCCATGGAATGTGCCGCTCGGGCGGTGACCTCACAGACTGGGACGTTACTCGAGGTGAACCGCAAGCTGGATAATGTCCTCGCGGCATTGCCTGTGATAGTACGCAAGATGGATTTGATCTCGGAGAGGGTCGCCGGACGATGCAGGGATGTTTAGAGTGTAAAATTGGCTTCACTGGTGGACATGAATGACCACTTAGAGACTCCAAGGCGGAGAGGAAAATTATCTCTGCCTGCCCTAAACAAAGTCATGTTTATCCTTATCTGACGCCATAGCAGCCTCTCAAGGCTGCCTCAACACACCCCCATGAAAGGAGGAATGCCGACAGATGCTGTGTCCCGACCTTCACCCTCTTGCTTCAGGCTGACATGTCTGCAGGGACTTCAATGTGCTCTCTGGTCCTTATCTCTCCCTCCCACCTGTTGGTCTGCAGCTGGTTGATGCGCCGCAGTGGCAGCTCCCATTGGAGGCTTCAGGATCCCGCCCAACCCCGCCTCCCCATCGGACTCTGATTTTGTATCTGTGCTGTTTTGTGCTTCCATGTTGAAAGGAGTTTTTTTTTTGTATAATAGAGTTACTCCCCACTGGGGCTAACTCTGCTATGCCTTTTTTTTACCTTACCCCCAATTATCCTCATGTAACACCCTTTTCATCTATCTATTAAGGTAGCGCGACTCATGTTGCGATTGACCACAGTCACCAATTCTTGTTATGTGTCTTACCCACGTATGTCTGATCTATGAATTGTGTGTGCTGAAACTGAATTTCATTTCTCTGTATGTCCTGCACATGTGGTAGAAAATGACAATAAATGACTTTGACTTTGACTTTGAAGTCCAGTTTTATTTAATGTTATGATTGATACTATTTTTGAGAAAGTTGATGATAGGTTTTGGAAAATCTCTATTTGCAGATGACGGTGCCATCTGGAGAAGTGGGAAGAATTTTTAGCATTTGTTTTCTCAGACTCCGAAAGCTTTAGATCAAATTGTGCAGTGGGCAAATAACTGGGGATTCAAGTTATCTATAGTATAAAGTAAATTTATGATCTTTGGCTTAAAAAGGAAAATCCCATCTATGAATGTTCATATTTATGGCTCTGTGATTGAAAGGGTTAAAGTTTGTAAGTTTTTGGGTTTGTGGTTTGACGAGAAGTTAATCTGGAAAACACATATAGAAAGATTAGTAAGCAAATGTGAAAAAGTAATTAATGTCATGAGGAGTTTATCAGGTAGTAGCTGGGGAGCGGAGAGAAGTACTTTACAGTTAATCTATAGGGCTATGATCAGGCCTGTTTTGGATTATGGATGTGTGGTTTTTGGGAAAGCTTCTAAATCTGTGTTGTGTAAATTGGATTATGTGCAGTTTAAGGCCCTAAGAATCTGTTGTGGAGCTTTTAGATCTACATCGAGTCCAGCATTGCTGGTTGAAATGGGGGAGTGCCCTTTGACAATGAGGAGGGAAAAACTAGGAGTTAATTATTGGACTAGACTGGCCGAGTTTAGTGGCAGCTTGGCATCTAAATGTCTCATAGATGATTGTTGGGAGTCCAGTGAAAATCAGGATAAGGACAGTTTCCTAAATCATATCGTAAAACTAGTAAATCTCCTAGGACTACAAAAGGATTTGGTGGTGGGGTTAGTGTAGTCTCCAATACCGTTTTGGAAATTACCTGAGTCAGAAATCGTTTTGGATTTACTAGGATTAGAAAAAGCGGTTGCCATCAGACTGTTAGAAATGTTTTTAAGTGAGCACAAAGATGCTATCCAAATTTATACTGATAGATCTGAAGAAACTACATTTCATAAAGCTGGTTTTAGGGTTTATATTGTCGAGCCACAGGTTAGATCAAGTGTTCGTGTGACGGATAAATTGTATGTTTTTTTCTGTTGAGCTTTTGGCTATTTTGTGGGCAGTGAAGTGGATAGTGGAGCATAAACCATCTCACTCTATTATCTGCTCTGATTCTGCTGCTGCACTGTTGACTCTAAGTAACGGGACATCTGAGGCACAGATTGACTTAGTTTTGGAGATTTTGTGTTGTCTTAAAGACACTGAGAATGCGGGTTCTAGGGTGGTATTTGTCTGGGTCCCTGGACTTACTGGAGTTTTGGGAAATTAAATAGCAGATGCATTGGCCAAAGACTCCATCCTTAGAAATAGCATTGATCATCATCTTCCTCTGGGAAAAAGAGAACGTTATAGTATATGCAATATCTATTTGAAAAATTTGTGGCAGAAAGAATGGGAATGTAGAGGAAGACTTTATTTTTCTTGTCAGCCGTCAGCTCATACCAGTTGGCAACCCTTAACCATCGTTAGAGATGAAGTGGTGATTACCAGAATGAGACTGGGGCACTGTGGTCTGGCGGCATGTTTATTTAGGATTGGTAAACATGTAGATGGGTTGTGTGAGTGTGGTAGTTCCGAAACTGTTGTTCATGTATTGTTGTCATGCAGCAAATACAATAGTGAGAGGCGGCAACTTTTTATGGGGCTGGCGGATTTGGGGTTGGAATCTTTTTCCTTTTAAGTTCTTTTTTTCGATTAGTGCTTATAGCTTGATTGTTCAATTCCTTCGTCACACTGGCATTCATTCGAGGATATGATGTAGCAGTAATATAACTGTGGAGGGCAGCATTGTGCATTCCAGCATATAGCCTGCCGGAAATGTATTAGAAGAAGAAGAGGAAGATTTATGAAGCGGAGATTGCGTGCAGCTGTGCGTACTTCATGTTTGATAGATCACAAACCTGCTTGGTGTAAGTACATTTTTGTTGCTGAGCTTAAGTACGGTTTTAGTAAGCATTCTAGCAATGTTTGATAAATGAGACCCCTGGGCTCCCTATAGTGGCCGTCTACCATCTTAGATGGGTCTCCATTCACTCTCAGTGCATTCATTTCAACGGAGAAAGGTGCTTATCCAACTAAACACAGATTTTATCAAATCAGACACATGGTATGAATGACAATTAAAACAAATATATAATTAAACGAAATAAATTAAAGCAAATACAATTATAAAATCCCATCAGGTAGGCTAGAAAAATCACTAGTAATTCCACGTGATCTGTAGACTGGTTGTTGTAACCGTAGGCTGTACATAAACGCGCATTAGTTGCTCACTCTATGAATAAGGAGACCCATCCAATATGGCGGCAACGCTGTTACGCTCCAGCGCCCAAAGGGGCGTCTACGTATTCATTTCTGTGCGCATCACATGATATGACTACACAGGCAGCGCTTCCGGTGTGGGCTGAATTAAGCCGATTGTGATCCGTACTGCCACACCGCGGCTACAGTCAACCAAGATGCTGGCCCTCATAAACAGACTGTTGGACTGGTTCCGGTCGCTGTTCTGGAAAGAAGAGATGGAGCTCACGTTAGTGGGCCTTCAGTATTCGGGGAAAACCACATTTGTCAACGTGATCGCTGTAAGTAGTCGACGTCAGCGAAGTGGGCCCGGGCTAACCTGGAGAGGTGGACGAGCTGTCAGTGCCAAAACATATGTTGGGATTGTGTGATAAAACACGAAGTAACGCGTGTGCACGTGCGGGCTGTTTATGAACGATAAAAAGAACAAATACCTGAAGTTAGCGATAGCGCGACGCAGTTTGTAGCTAGCTGCGATGACGAAATTGTCGGCATGACTGTGCGCTTAGTGAAGCTGGTCATGTGAACTTCTTTGTAATAACAATAACTCGGTGTGTAAACAAGAACTGCGTTCACAGCACGTCCTCCTCAGAAGAAGCCAGTGATGATAATCTGTCAGTGATGATAATCTGTCAACTGTCTGATAATCTCAGCAGTAAAACATGGAACTTGCTTTATCTTCCAGAGCTAGCTGTGGTTGAAGCTGTGTGTGTCAGCTGCTCCCGTACCCACTGGGATACATTCAGTCAGTGGACGGCTGTCACAGTCCTGCACAGTTTAACTTATTTATGATACTTAAACCTTTGCTGACCTGTTGGGTAATCCTGTGGGATTATAGAGGAAAGGTCAACTCTCTTTGCTGACCACTTTCTGCATTTTTATACAATCAGCTTTTCTTTTCTTGAGAAAAGCATTTTTCCCCAGCTTGGTGGCGATCGTAAGTCACATGTTTACTGTGAACAGTACCTTTGCACTTCCTGTGTCACTGTAAGAGCTGACCTCAAGCCAAAAGGGAGTCGACCTCTAAAGGAGCCTTCACATGATGACTGTCTGAAATTCACGTGTTAGCAATGTAACCTGACCGCATGCACGACATTCTCTAAAGTATTCTTCTAGATCTGAAGATCTAAACAGAACATTTGTGAAACAGATCATTTCATAAGTCTCAGTTCTTCTTATGTGGCTTTTGGATCAGATGTGTTGACCTGAACAAACCTGCACTGATGTGCTGCCCTTTTTTTGTTTACATTTGTTTTGTGCAGTCGGGACAGTTCAGTGAAGACATGATTCCCACAGTTGGTTTCAACATGCGTAAGGTTACTAAGGGCAACGTAACAATAAAGGTAAGTTTAACAAACCCAGATTAGCACTGCTGGAGCTATTCTCGTCACAGATCATCTAAAGTTGCAGCCGGAGGAATCTGTCACAAGGAAAGCTGCATCTGTGAGTTGACTTTTCTGGATCTTTTGCTGCAGATCTGGGACATAGGTGGACAGCCCCGCTTCCGAAGCATGTGGGAGCGCTACTGTAGAGGAGTCAACGCTATTGTGTAAGTTTGTCGACAGTTTTCATCTCTAGCCCGATCGCTCACGAGTAGGGATGCTCTGATCCATTATCTGGTATGGATTTCAGTGTCTCCAGTTATTTTTTATGGGCCCTGGTTAGGGCTGCACGATATTAGGAGAACCTGCGATGCACGATAACAGTGATTAATGTTGCAGCGATGATGCGGCCTGCAATAAATAAACAAATACTTAGCTCCAGAACAAAAAATAAATAATTCAAAAACAAAGAAATTGTTTAACTATCATAAAAAAGGGAAAAACAAAAGTTGTGATCAAAAGTTGCGAGAAAAGGGAAAAAGAAAATGAGCAAGAAAAACTGCAATCGGCAGAGAGAACAGAACAAAGCTAACTCGGGCGTTACCGTCAAAATTAAGGGCCGTCTGCCTAGGGGGCGGGCATTTATCCAATAGGGACACACCCGATTGGCCAAAGGGGTGAAGAGGTCTATGGGTTAGTCAAAAACTTCATGCTTCTGTGTGACAAAATGTGTAGCAAACATCTGTTTTGTTTTTTTCTGTTCTTTGCGTATTGCACATGCCGATACCGCGATGACCGTCACCGCACGTTTACGAAGTATTGTGCAGCCCTAGTCCTGGAGGTGTGTAACACCTGTTAGCAGGAGCCATTAGTGAATTCATGTCAGGATCAATGAAGACGTTCACAAGCAACAACAGTTGTATAAAGCAGTGTTTGTAAAATAAAGTGTAGAATGAAACCTCGGGACTCATGTGGATGACCTCTGTCCCTGCTCGGTGACCTTCTTGTGTTGATGTTAACAACTAACGTCGGTATGGTCTGCAGTCTGCTGTAAATAAAAACCCTTCATCCGAGCATTCCCACTCGAACTGCGACTGAAGCTGATCATCAACACTAACTGATGTTTTTCATGTGTTCCAGTTTGGTGCGACCCTCACCTGACTATTATTATTTTTTAAATCCAGTTACATGGTGGACGCTGCGGACCGAGATAAAGTAGAAGCTTCCAGAAACGAACTGCACAACCTTTTAGACAAACCACAGCTACAAGGAATTCCTGTGAGTCTGTTTGAGATTTCTGGAGCAGAAACATTTCGGTGTTGCAGCATTAATTTTATTCCAGAGTCAGATGACTTCAGTCACGGGAGGTGGTTAAACTCAGATTAGGGAGGGACTGAAGCACATTAGTTTCTATGTGTTTCATATGTAATTGATAGGAAGGCCCCACAGGCTGCTGATTTTGTCCTCTGCGGAACAACTCCTCCTGTAGCACATGGTTTAAAACCAGTATGATAATGTTGATTCGTTTCTGCAAAAACGATCAAACTGTCATTTATGTTTTTGCTCTTGTTTTCAGGTTCTTGTTCTTGGTAACAAACGGGACTTGCCCAGCGCTCTAGATGAGAAGCAGCTCATTGAAAAAATGTGAGAACCGCTTGTTTTTATTTAGCCTTTGTGTGTCTTGAACCTGATTTTGATTAGAGCAGCAGCAGCAGCTTCTCCGTCCTAGCTAGTCTCTGGTAGAATAACCCAGTAGAGTATGATGTGGTTAGCGCTGCTGGCTTGCAGCAAGAAGGACCTGGGATCACATGCTGGCCTGGAAGTCTGCAATATACTCCCTGTGCATGTGTGAGTTCTCTCCGGGTACTTCGGCATCCACCCACAGTCCGAAAACATGACTGTGAGGTGGATTGGTCTCTCTAAATTGCCCTTAGGTGTGTGTGTGTGTGTGTGTGTGTGTGTGTGTGTGTTGCCCTGCGATAGACTGGCAACCTGTCATTTTCTGACGCGCCCTCTTGATCCTTCACAGGAACTTGTCTGCCATTCAAGACCGAGAGATCTGCTGCTACTCCGTCTCTTGCAAAGAAAAGGACAACATAGGTAACTTTTAAAGGGGGCTAGGCAGTTTTGGCTTGCTTTTAGCACCCTCTAGTAGGGCTGGACGTTATGGCCTAAAATCAATATCATGATATATTGAGAATTTCACCTCGATAACGACAAATGGACGATAACTACAGGTATGCGCAGAAACAAAAGTTGTCCACTAGATGGGGCTGTCACGTGTATTACGTTGAGTCACGTTTTTACGTGACTCAAGATGGTACAGCTTCTTAAAGGGACATGAACGTTGCCAACCTACACACATCTTTTCATTTTTTATTATCAAATTTATTGACATGGGAAAAATTCTCGATAAGAGTCAGAAATTTCAATAACGATAAATTTTCGATTTATTGCCCAGCCCTACCCCCTAGTGTCTGTTTGTAGAACCAAATCCAAACCTATCTTGTCGCTGTACGTTTGTCACTTAATACAACAGCTAAAATGTCTCCCAACCTTCGTTAGTGTCTACAGAAGTGATTCATCACTAAATTAATCAAATCAGCTGTGTTTATGATGTAAAACATGCAGGAAACCTGTTGCAACCAGAGTGCAGCGCCAGTTATGTCAGCAGAGTCCAACAGACCTGTCTGGCAACTGAAGTTGCAAGTGCGATATTCTGTTCACAGGGCTGGATGGCCTTTCATAAACCATGTAAAGGGTCATTTTAGCACATACAGGCTCAAGATAATGATTTAAAAATATAAAAAAATTACACAGTATCGCTTTAATGATCTGTTTGCCAACATTGAGCACACCAGATTAACACTATTGGTCAAGTTTGTGGATTTTTTCATAAATATAATTACATTTTGTTTAAATGTAAACATAAAAGCGAAAATAAATCTTTAACATGAGCATAAATGAACACAAAAGTGCAGAAAAGATAATTCTCATTGTAGAAGTTTATTTTTTTTACTGATTAACTATAAAGAAGACTTCCAGTGATCATATTTACAAACAGATAGTTCAATTGACACATTTGAATAAAGATTTAACAAGAGTCACTTACGCGCTGTGCCAGACCGTAGGTACTGACACGCGATCGTTCATGTCGGTTCATTTCCTTTAATGTTTTCTGTCTTTTATTTGCGCCTGATGTGTATCGCTGCTGTGGAGCGGGGCGCTTCACCCTGTCCTCCGACGCACAGATCACTGATGCGGCCGGCAAGCAGGGAGTGCTCCGCTGTTTTCGCAGTCGGTAGATCTGCCTCCTGAGCACGGCCACAGTAACAATCAGGTGTCGCCACCTCAAAGACTAATTTAACACGCGATCGTTCATGTCAGTTCATTTCCTTTAATGTTTTCTGTCTTTTATTTGCGCCTGATGTGTTTCGCTGCATGCTGTGGAGCGGGGTGCTGTGCGCATCACCTTGTCCTCCGACGCACTGATCACTGATACGGCCGCCAAGCAGCGCTCACTCTGCTGTTTTTGCGGTCGGTAGATCTTTTAGAACTGCAGTTCAAGGGTAACTCATAAGGTGAATATATATGAACCCAGGTAGCAGTTTCTCTTTAGGATTGAGAGGAGATGCAGGAAGATAATAAACAGACAGGACAGAAAAATAGTCAAATAAAAACAAGTTAGTTTTTGTACCTGCTGGTTGCAACAAACAGACACCATTGAAGGTAATCAGAAGTGAGGAACAGAAAATGAAATAATTATTTTAATGTTTAGAGCAGGCTGCAGGCGCATCAGTGAGTTTGCGGCCGCTGCGCAGGGGGAGGGGGGAGAGGGCTGAAGCAGGGGGAGGGGGGAGATGGCTGAAGCAGAAACTACCGTTGTTAAAAGAAATGTGTTTAACTTTGAAAATGTAGGCGCAATTTTAATTGTCAAAAACTCCAGCGAACCATTAGTTCATTTTGCTCAAATAGAAATAGAGGCCTGCCTCTAATACTGGCCCTCCTTCCAATAAAGGCCTGGAGCTTGATGAGCTTGAGTCAAATACAGGCCCGGGCCTGTATTAGAGGATTTACGGTACATTTACAGCATGATAAAAAAACCATAATAAGTTTAAAAACGGATATCGTATTCAGAACTGTTTGGCTTCAGTTAGAAGGAAATCAAGATTATTTGATTAGACAGTTATGTTGATAGCGTGCTACTATGGGACCAATTACAGTTTTGTTACAGTTCTATTTTACTACCTTTACATTGGAATAATTGTTAAATCAGGCAACATTATTAAATTACTGCTTAAAGCTGCAATGGCAAATTTGGAAAACAAATTGGTCTAAAGTGGCAGTGTGTAGCTTCCTGGTGCTAGGGGCAGTACGTACATATCAGGGTAGTTTTACACCGTATCGCCGTGACTGTTGCTAGTTTTTTACATTACGGTAAATGTTGTTAACTGTGGAGCAGAAAGCATGCAACCATAGCGTGACTCCTCAGACTTTTGTGGTCCATCAGTTAATTCCGTCGAGAGAATGCAATGCTGATGCTAGCTTTCTGGCGCTGTAGTTTCTCGATCTGCTTAGGGTCCTGCACCTGCCGATGACATCATCATACTATGGCAGTACCGCTTGGACAAAATATATTGCATCTCTGTTTTGAATCTGTTCTTCGATTCTGTTTTCGGAAGAGTTTAACAGTTTTGTTATTCAATCCATGTTTCTTACTGCCTAAATGTTTTCGAACGTAGTAAAGCTACTTCCGTAGGTCGAACGACGTCCAACCAATCATGTAGTCATCGGCAGGAAGTCACAGACAACCAAAGACGTTTTGACCTAGAAAATGGCGACTGGTGGTTATCACTATCTCGTTTTTATCCGGCATTGTGGGTTTGCTCTTCCGTCAGAAGTGTCTCAGGGAAGATGTCCGAGGGCAGGGTGAGTGGTCCATGACAGTCTTCTCCTGCTTTTGCAAACTGAAAAGGCTAACCGCTAGCTTTTAGATGAACAACCGGAACAGTAAACTCCACCGTGACCATTGATCCACGTCTCACTTGTACCTAACTGAACCACAAAGTTGATTGGTGCAGTTTCTGTTCAGCAGAGGACTGCATAGTGCTGTTCAGTGTGAAGCTGCTCAGTTGTCTGGTTCAAGAACCACTCAGTGCGTTTACATACGCATCTGAAAACCAAAGTATTGCCCTAAAAGACTCAAGTCGTTTTTTTTATTGCATGTAAACGTGTTAGTCTGGCTGAAGGAGGACTGGTTCTAATCGAGCCGAAGCGCCCAGATAATGCGGTAGCAATGCGATTACATCCTACATGTAAACAGATTAGCCAAACTACACCGTTAAGATGCACGCGTTCTGGAAGTGATGAGACCATGGAAGCGGCCTTCTGACAAGACCATCGTCACAAAGCAACACGCGCGACACCATAAAACAGGGCAGCACGTACCAAGTAAACTGTGCTGCAGCGTCGTCGCATCTGTGTCGCCACCTACTGTATCGGAGTGGAACAAACTTTATTTCAGAGGCTGGTTTTTCTAATGCACATGTAAACTAGGATTAAGACTCCCAGCTTATTACAAAAAGATTGACCTGGATCGACTTAGATGTCGGTCAGTGTGCAAGTGGCCGCACTGACTGAAACCAGTTTAAAAGCAATACCACAGTGTTAGGGCTGGGGGTAAACGAATTTTTTTAAAACGATTATTCTGACGATTATTTTATCGAATAGTCGACTATTCTAATGACTATTTATGGACAATTGATCTAATGATTAATTTTCTTTTGCACAATTAATAAAAAAAAGAAAAACGCTAATAACTTCCTCAAAAAAATTGATAAATTGTTACTGTAAGAGAATAAACTCTACAGGCCTTCCATTTTGCATAACACTGCTTTTATTGTGTTGCGGCTGCTTATGTTCTGGTGACGTGTAGAACTTGGGAGTGCAGGCTGCTGCCTGAGAGGTGGTAGAAGATGGAGTGTCTCCATGCTGCTTTGTTTTGGTCACTTATGTGCATGAGGCGAGTGGTGTTACGACTCTTCCTGGGGAGTTTGGCTCGTGTGCAAAAAGGAAGGGACTATAACACGGGATTTAAAAGTTAAAATGATGATCAGGTTTATTTTCAACTACACAAAAACATAAATCTTTCCATCCACAGGTTGGGAATAATAAAACTAATTCTGCCTGTGGGGAATTAAAACAAAAGTACAAATAACTAGGGATGTCCCACTGAGCAAAGATTACAGGGTTCTGGACCAAAATAAGGATCTCCAAAAGTCCAAACTCTAAACTGGGCGGTTAAACCAAACTCAAGGTGATATTTTACACTAAACCGAAAACCCACAACACTCTAAATGTAATAAAAGGGAGATCTACACCACAAAAACGATGAACTCTAAACCAAAACGTAACAGCTTATCCAAACGCAAGAAGCTGTTAGCGAAAATGCTAACAGTAGCTTTACCAACGTTAAGTTCAAGTTACCAAGTTTAAATAAACCAAAAACACCCAGCAGCAAACAGACCAGCACGGAGGAGAGACTGCTTCCACCAAAACAGCTCTCCTCATGTCTGAAAGAAGCTCCTTAATGAAGGGAGAAGCGCTCCCGGTGATTTTCTGCATCTGCAGTAGAGACGAAGCAGCGCATCTGACCCCGGAAGTTGTTGTCCGTTGCTGGGAGAGGAAGGCGGGCAAAACAGGAACGGAATCTAGTAGCGGACGGACATTGTTCCGGGTCTTCGGGATTTAGTGGAGATGTTAGTGAAGGCGGAGAAGAGGGCGAACTAGAGGAAAAACAGGCAGATTCCTCCTCTTTTTACAAACTCCTGGGGGTGCAACAAGTGGGCGTGGTGCGTCGACTTCCGGATCTGACGTTGACAAATTTTTAGAATCGAGCCGTCGACGTCATCGAGGCTTCGCTACAGCCCTACAAAGTGTAAAAAGTTATTTAGTGTTGCTTTAAATTCCAGCCAGTTTTTCACTGTAAATAGACACAAAGCACTTTGTGAATAACAATGTAATGTAAATGGCCTTTATTTTTATCAGTCATCCACCCATTCACACCATCGACATAAATATACTGGACATTCCATAGGCTCCAATATCACGTTGTTGTACTAAAATGGGAGGTGGCCACCACCGCCATTTTGACTGTGTCACAGGTTCCATCAAGCCCAGACAATTCCATAAAAGGGAAGAGAGGAGGAGCTGAGGGTGGGGCTGTAAGGCTGGGATCAACTGACGACACTCGGTCGAACTAGCTACAAGCTAACCTGAAGCTAACCCAAAGCTAACGCAGAGGTGGGAGCTAAGCTAACGGAGGTAGCAACCTAGCTACAACCGGAGTTAACTGTGCACAACACCAGAGCTTCTGAGTCAGAGATACGCCGGGCTGACCGCTGGGTAAAACCGGGTGGAACACAGAGGTCTCCCGAGAGCTCCATAAGCCGGCAGCCGCACAGCAGACAGAAGCTGCGATCAGACAGAGATGCGCCGAGCTACGGGGAGGGGAGAACCGGGTGGAAAACATCGGTCTACCGAGAGCTTCAGAAGCCGATAGTCGGAACCCAGCTCCACCAACATGTTATATTTCAACCCATTTTCTAAAGAGCAGCATTGTGTTAAATGCACTGGGTTTGACCCTATTACATTTACATTTCATGGTTAAACAGTACAAGTTAAAATCTAAGCTCAGCTCGGCAGTGACCTAAAATACATAAATATAATTTTACTTACCGAAAAAAATGAAGTGGAGACTCCTTGGACGCTCTATTAGTGCAATTAATGCCACAGCAAGTAATTTTGTCCAACAATTGCACAAAAAATATCCAAAAAAGAATACACACACACAGAGACTCAAAATCCCGGAGCAGTTTCCAGGCCAGACCGAGGCTCTACTGAGGCCTTTCCACGGAGCTAGCTCTGTGGTCACGTGGGTCGGATGCTCATTAATTATACAGAATTTTAGGCTTTTAATACACTTAAACAGAAGAGTGAGAAAAAATTCACCCCCCTCAGAGTTGTCATGAGTGTAAACTAGATAATTTAAACAAAAAACACATTTTGGTACCAGGCTGTAAACATGTTTATTTCTGCTGTGAAATTGGTATTTTTAACATGGGAGTCAATGAGGATTTGCTCGCTTCTGACACCAGCCCCCAGTGGATGAGGGTGGAACTGCAATTTTTGGTACTTCCGGGTTGCGCCCAATTTTAGAGCTGCATTGTGGGGGCTTGATTCACACACATTCTCACGCTGGTTATGATGAGCTACTGGTGCGCACCGACAGAAGCAAGGACGTTGACCACCGGTATATATTTATGTTTTCTAACATATAATTCTTTCTTTGCGTTCCACCCGTTTCTGCAGACATCACACTGCAATGGCTCATCCAGCACTCAAAGTCTCGAAGAAGTTGAAAGTGAAGCTGCCCGCCCTCCTCCACCCTCTGACCTCTGCCCCCCCAAAAGGTCACAGGTCGCCTACAGTCATCCCTTGCACTGCCTCTGTGAAGTAATCCAGCTCTCTGCTCACTACCACCATCTCTTGCTTCGCCCTGTACACTACCACGGATGTGCACCCCCGCATCCAGTTTCACTATCGTCAGTGGGTGGATTGTTCGTACAGGCCATGTTTGTTTGTGCGCAGCATAAAAATATCTTTGTGTCCTTTTCATGGTTTCCAGGTATTTAATGTTGATGGGGCCCCTCTAATTCCACAATCATACATCAGCTCCATCGCTTTTAAACATTCATCGCTCATGTGATTGTTGTTGTGAGCAGGTTTTTGCCAAACGATGACGGTTCTTTTTCTGAATGCCTTTAATCCCTGAAAGTCTCTCAGCTACGTGGCCTGGATTTTATTTGCTGCTGTGTGAAGAATCTGTCTCACTGAGTGTGATCCTAACTAGTTCAAACATAATTAAAAAAGTAGAAGGTAAGATTTGTGGGTGGCGGTTGTGTCTTCAGGCAAAAATTCCCAAGCGAAATTTGAAGTGCCTTTGACTGCCAGTGTCCCGATCAGACGGTTCTTACCCAACAGAGTTTCTCACCCACAATTACACGGGACGACTCGGCGCAGACACTGTTTGGATCCTTTGATTACACCTAACCCCACCTCTCGACAATCTCATTGTGTGTTTTGTAATTACATAAAAGCTTTACAGTGTCTGAAAATGGACAGCGCTGCACAGACAGGGAAGAACTTACTGTGGGAGAAAATGTTACAGTTGTGCCGTTTTCTGGGGAATCTGAATGCTGTTTCACTCGTCGCCTCGAAGTCCTCTCTGTATGTGAAACATGGAGCGAAATCTTGGTGGCACCCAAGGATTTCAGAGGTATTTGATAGGTGTCTGTCTCAAATATGTTGTATTTGTTGGGTTTGGACAACTACAGGCCAGTGTTAGTCCTAACCTTTGAAGTGCTTAAATTCATACTTTGCCACACCTCTATATAAATGTGTTTTTCTAAAATCCCTCATGATCCAAGAATGTTTTCTTTATGAGATTGACATAGGTTTAACCACTACTGTCTTACCTGGTGGGTGCGTCTCCAGTGTCTCCTTCATCTACAAGGCTTCTGCTTGTCCCTCAAAATGATGTCCTCCGCCCTGGTTTCTCATGTCTGATGGTTGTCCAGATGAGAGATTATTTGGGACCACGGCGGCGGTGAGGGGCTGTTCAGGTGGAGGACTGTGGGTCATTTTGCAGAAAGCTTTTGCTCCTTGTGTGAAAGTGCATGTGCTGGAGTTGTTCAAATTCAGTTGCTGACTTTGTAAATAGCATTTTTATTCAAGCAGATGTCATGCATTCTCTGCCTGTGACTGCTAATAAATTTTGTTTTTATTTTTAAGGATTTTGAGTCTTATTTTTGTAAAAATGTCTGTTTGATGTTTGACCACTAGGTGGAAACAGAGGGCTTTGGAAAGAGAACAGGAAGTCCAGTTTATTTTTTGTTTCATGAACAGTTCCTTGTCTTCCTCTGGAGGTATAACCAAAAAGTTTTACGATGCCTTTTTTTAGTTCAAAGGTTAGAAATGTAAAAGTACAGTCATTCAAAGTCTTTCAAGGGTTGAATTTGAAGAAGGAGCTGAGCCGGAAAGCAAGGCTCTCGATTTACCAGTCCATCTACCGCACAGTCCTCACCTATGGTCATGAGCTTTAGGTAAGGACCGAAAGAACAAGATTACAGATGCAAGCGGCCGAAAGGAGTTTTCTCCGCAGGGTGGCTGGGCTCAGCCTTAGGGATAGAGTGAGGAGCTCGAACATTCGGGAGAGAATCGGAGAAGAGCCGCTGCTCCATATTGAGAGAAGTCAGTTGAGGTAGTTTGGGTATCTTGTTAGGATGCTTCCCCAGGGAGGAGTTTCAAGCATGTCCTGCTGGCAGGAGGCCCCCGGGTCGACCCAGGACACGTTGGAGAGGTTACATCTCCAATCTGGCCCAGGAACACCTTGGGGTCCTGCCGGAGGAGCTGGTGGAGGTGGCCGGGGAGAGGACGGTCTGGAGCTCCCTAGTTGGGATGCTGACCCCGCGACCCGGACCCGGATAGGTGGAAGAAGACGAGAGATTTAAAACTTCCAAATATCTTAGCACCACTTCATCTGAACTAGATTTTATTTTTGATAGAAAACATTTTTATTTTCTATCACTGCAGAATTCAGTTTCTGGATCCCGTAATGAATTCTTAAAACCTACTTGTTTTCTAGTAAGAAGGAACAATCATGTGTTGATATGTAAAACTAGTGACCCATCAGAAGAAATCCTTGTAGCTGACCTGTTCCAGCTGCCACTTCCTAATATCTGAAACATCAGCAGCATCTAATGAATAGCTTCTGGTGTTTGCGTGGACCTTTGTGGTTTGTGTAAGCCTGTGTGGCAGGGGGAGGGTGTGTAGTCTGAATTCCATGGATCACTGGAGAGTAAAGCATGTGGTTTACAGCAGCAGTCGAGGGATTGAGTAGTGGTTACAACCCTGCCGGAGACTTATTTAGAGAAGAGGTCACGGAGATGACCTGGAGCTGCAACACACTGTACTTGTGGTCACACTTATGTAAAACAAGAAGTTTTCCACCTACTACCTTATTACAGCACTGTTGACACACCAAATGGATCTAAGTGTCAAATAAGTTAAGTTGTGTTTTTCAAACTCATTCCATGTATCACGTGTTGCAAAGTTCATATTAATAAATGGTTTCCTGAACAGCTTCTAATTCAAAAAGGACAGAGGAACATTTCATAACATAATTATTAATTTGATGAACTCATCCTAAATGTTGCGTTGCACATATACTTACATGGAGGTCTGTGATAATCTACCTTTTGAATGCTTGTCAGTAATTGTCTTTCTAATCTGAGAAAACTCTGCCAGTAGCTTTCTGAGGTCCTTCAGTGTGGTACACCAACACCAAACAGCACTGTGACTACCTCTCATCCTTTGAAAAGGCAAACAGACTGAAGACAGCTTTATTATGATTGCAGCACACACCTTAGTTGATCATGTCTAATTAGTTGTAATGTTTTACGTGTACCATCATTTTTGTCCATGCCAGTTTGATTAGTTTGTTCATTAACTGCAATTTTAAAGCAAAGTCGGATTTTCATTTCAGACAGTTTAGTCATGGCCGTGTTTGTTGTTGGGGTTATTTTTCAGGAAATGTCAAAACCATAGACTAGATGCTTTCCATTTCCTTCCTCCCCCCTCGATCTGGCTCTGTCACCATAAACAGATTTTATGTCTTGCAGGCCTCCTTCAAACAATATTTACAACTCTTCCATCCTTCAGTCTTTGGCTCTAAGTGTATACAGTTTACATTTACACCCACAGAGCATCCAAACGCATCTTCTGAGCTGAGAATGTTGTTTTAAGTCTCCTTCACAGCACCTGTGTCGGTAGGAGCTTTTACTAAGGACAGAGAAAAAAAAACCAATGAATTTTAGCTTGACGGAAGAGTTTGAATGCTTAAAACATTAATTTGAATCATCACATTGCTTACAGCAGGAAATTGGAACATGGCTGTGCTAATTAGGGGTTGCTTTGTATACGCACGCACGCACGCAGGCACGCACGCACACACGCACACACACACACACACACACACACACAATAAAAAGTTGCTGAAGTGTAGCATTGGGATTGGAGGTTTGGATCACTGGGATTGACAGGCATCTGCAAGCACTTCATTCATTTCCCTGTGCGGCCCATAATTTGGCACTAATCACCATATTTGGAACGTCACATGATTCATACAGAGCTGCATGGCATATCATCATTCCTCAGTGCTCTACACCCTGTAAAAGACAGATGGAAACGTGCACACACCCTGGTAATAACGCAGTTTTATTGGGCTCCAAAGACTAATTAATTCCTCTGCTTAGCTGCTTTAAAGTGCTCAGTAATGGATGTTTATCTATTCTAATAGATTTTCAATTATATAAATTCAAGAATTCTCAATAAAATTGTCAAAAGTTGGTGCCTTTTTTTCTCACATTTACCAGATTTTAAAACATCAGCAGGAAAGCAAAAACTACAGTTTGGTTAGTTCAGGGTTGTTTCGACGTTTTCTATTCATGTAAAAAGCTTCAAGTAAAACTCTTCTTCGTAGTAACTCTTGTTCATTTTGATGTGTACAAATAATCATTTGATTACTGACTCGGTTTTAGCAGTATGGTTCAAAGATGACTAATTACCATTATTTCTATTACAAATAGTAATATTTACGGGACACCACCTTTTTAGGAGGAAGAAAAGAGAACGTTTAAATAGTGGGCAGCAGACACCTGACTGTTGGTACTGCAGCCTGGTCTCTGCGCTAACACTTTATAAAGATATTAAGGGGTCGGGTGCAATGTGTGATAGATCGTAGCTGAAGGCGGTGACCTAGGTGGTCTCATCCTTGGCTGCAGAAGCTGGCTTTCAGTATGTGAAATGTCTCCTCTCTGTTGTGGAAGGAGTCTGAGTTGGTGTGCGAGGTTGAGAGGTTCTGGCTAGCTGTAGGCCCAATCTTAATATTCGCCCTGTGGTCTTCAGCAAAGCGCACTTGGAGAATGTGTGCAGTAGGGTTCGAGTGCGTAGTACACAAGTGTGCAAATAATTGCCGAATTGAGACAGGGAGCATTGTGTCGTCGATCGCAGCACATGCCGTGATGTTGGTCACTGTGAAACTTTTTCTAAAACCTTTATTAACAACTTTCAAACAAACAATAAAGCAATTATTTGAAATAAATTTAACTTCATTGCTGCTTTGTCTAAAAAATTCAGAGCATCAAATAATTGTCCTAAAATGAACAAGGTTCATTAGAAAATGCATATTTTCGGAAAAGGAACTTGAACCTTTTCTCCCGCTGCAATGACTAGTGGGTAATTCTCTTGCCCGTGGTCCTCATCGCTGCGGACTTGGTTGAAGTACAGATTAAGGGTGCAATGGGGGCTTGGCCAACTTCCGTACTTGAGAATCGGGACACCATACGCGCTCGCACCCCTGGCCGGGAACGCGTAAATGAAGTGCGTAAGGGTGCAAGTGCGAGTATTGAGATTGGGCCTTAGTCAGACTCAACTCTGGCTCAGGCTCTGAAACCAGTTTCCTTGAGAGGGTCTGGATGCTCTTCCACTTTGGAGTTGCCCCAACTGAGAGGCACCAAGCAGGGATGGGCATACTAGTTCCCCCATCTTGGTACCTGTATGTTGGGTTTGGTGAATGAGAGGGTAGCCTCCCCCCACCTACGTGTGGGGGGAGGGTCCTGACTGTTGTCTGTGTTTGTGCACCAAACTACAGTCCAGACTACCCACCCTTTTCGGAGACCTTGGAGAGAGTGCTGGAGAGCGCTCCTTCCGGTGACTTCCTCATTCTGCTGGGGGAATTTAACGCTCATGTGGGCAACGACAGTGAGACCTGGAGAGGTGTGGTTGGGAGGAACGGCCCGATCTGAAATGGAGTGGTGTTTTGTTATTGGACTTCTGTGCTTGTCATGGATTGTCCATAATGTACACCATGTTCAGACATAAAGGTGTATTTGCTCTTGGACACTCAGGTGAAGAGAGGGACGGAGCTGTCAACGAACCACTACCTGGTGGTGAGTTGACTTCAATGGTGTGGGAGGAAGCCAGTCAGACCTTGCAGGCACAAACATATTTTGAGGGTTTGCAGGGAATGTCTGGCGGAGTCTCCTATCAAAAGAAAATTCAATTCCCACCTCAGACAGAACTTCCAAAATGTTTTGGGGAGGTGGGGGTACACTGAGTCAAAGTGGACCATGTTCAGTGCTTCCATTGTTGAGGCGGTTAACTGGAGCTGTGGCTGCAGGGTCATCGGTGCCTGTCGTGGTGGATAGTCCCAAACCCGCTGGTGGACGCAGATGGTTAGGGATGCCATAAAGCTGAAGAAAGAGTCCTATCTGGACTTGTTGACCTGTGGGACTTCAGAGGCAGCTTGTGGGTACCGGCAGGCCAAGCAGAATGTAGCCCATGTGGTTACAGAGGCAAAAACCCGGGCATGGGAGGAGTTCGGTGATACCATGGAGCAAGACTTCCGTACGGCGTCGAGGAAATTCTGGTCCACCATCCGGCGCTTTAGGATGGGAAAGCAGTGCGTTACCAACACTGTTTATAGTGGGGACGGTTTACTGCTGACCTCGACTCGAGACGTTGTGGATCGGTGGGCTGAACACTTCAAAGACCTCCTCAGTGTTGGGTCCCCAGCGGGGTTGGTCGACCCTGGGTCCCTGGCTCAACCGGCTTAAGGGTGCAGGCGGGCCTGGGGGCTTGCCATTGTTATCTCCCAGGACTCATGCCGGCTGCTAGTTGTGTACCTCCGGGGCGGACCTCAGCACCTCTTGACCTAGGTTGGGGTTTCTCT